ATTCTAAGCCAAAGCTTCATATTGTTCATTAAATACTTTATAACAGAAACACCTTATCAAGAAATGCAAAATTGTAAGACTAAATACAGTAAGTCTGAAAACATTTTTATAATTACCAATTTCCATTACTTATTAATAGAATGTTTTTAATTATTAAATTCACCAAATAACTCCTAGAATATAAAGGAGTGCTCTGATTTTTAATGATTACTACCTAAGATTTTAAATAATCAACTGAAACACAAAATATCATCCAAATTAAAAACAAAACTCATATTGCAGGAAGTCAAGCTTCTTGCTAATTAAGTTCACTGTCCTTCAAACAAGGCTGAAATGGAGTCATTTACCAATCCAAGCTATTTTGCAGTAAGGGTGGTGGGTCTGGACAACCACTCAATTGCTCTCTCAGGCTCAGAACATTCCCCCATTAGAGAGCTGACCAACAATTCAAAAACAAAACCAAAGCAAACCCTACATACACAAGAGCCAATCTTGGAAAACCCAGTGAGGAAATGTACACCTGTAGCATTTGTTACAGGCTAAGATGTTGAAATTTTCTGGTTTGAAAGAAGAGGCTACACAACAGTGAGACCAATACTCCTGACCAGAACCACTCTACCCTAAATATTGCATCTGAAGCAGTACCATTACAGGTATAGCCTACATACCATTAAGCTTCCTCTGAATTGCTTCTTCCTCTAAAGTGATGATATACATCTGCTCATCTAGGTCTTCCAGGATCTGTATTTGGAAACAGAAACATGAACTGAGTCTCAGAGACATTTGTTTTCCTGACTGCACTTACATAATCAGATTCACATTGCTCCTGTAACCTGTAGTTTAAATATACAGTCTGCAACTTCACAATAGTGACACAAATAAGATCTTCACAGAAGATTATTCTATTCTGTTATACAGTTGTATCTTTACTGTAAGCAAAGTTACTTCAAAGTTTTTATTTCAAGTTAAGGCTTTTATGTTCAGTTTCAATCTAAAGAGACAGAACAGTATGTCTGACCTACATGCAAATCGTATCAACCTTCACACCCAATTCAAACAAAAATAACTAAAGATTTTGAAAAATTGTATTAAAAAGCAACTTTTCACGTAAGCCAGTATTTCATGCAAACAGAAATTACTATTGGAAGCTAAAAACCAAATAAATTAAACCAGTCTACCTCAGCTACTAGATTCTTTGAGACTAAAGATAATAATGGTAGGTATTTTCTTCGTATTTCCGAGGTTGAACTGACTAATGAAAAGGAATGCAAAATCCAAGTGCACCCAAATTTTAATAAATACAAACTAGGACACTAGGACACCAAAGTCACTAGAGCACTTGTCTTCCCTCACAGCATTCAGAGCATGAACTAAAGAGCATCTATGTGTAACAAGCTCTTAAAGATGACAACTACCCATATTTCACCCATCTGTGCGTACCCCCAGATATCCTTCTTGTTATCCAGACTTTCTTCACTCTTGTACTCTTTGCTCCTGAACTCAGAATATGCCCACACTTTTCAGACACAGATAAAACGCAGCAGGAAATACTGGCAATAAATAGTATTAGTAGCAATGACATAAATTGAAAAATCAGAAGTCGTCTGTATTATGATAAGAAAACCTTTGGATAAAAACAGGCTTTTGTGCTATATGAAAAAACATGAAACAAGTACAAAAATAGTGGTTATAGAAACTCTGATGAACTGAAGAGTTCTGTAGAAGTGTAAGCATTCTAGAAGAAAGTACCAAAACACCATTCTAGTTCCTCCCAGGTAGCACAGGAGGACAGAATTGTGTAGCACTTACTGTCGGCTTCACCAGCAATTGACCCATTACTGTAAACATCCGTGAGAGCCCCACTGGCGTGCACACTGCAGAGGAAGGAAGAGCATGCAGAACAGTCATCTGACAGTCAAAGACCAGTTTTTTATTTGGATGCTTTGTGTGCTATTCCACATATAACTATTTTTCAGTTTTGAGAAGAAATGTGAGAGCTTAAAGCTCCAATATGAACTTTTAAGCACATTTTGAACAAGACAAGCATCTCTCCTCTCCAAGAGCTTAACTAATTTTTTTTCTTTTTAATCAACAACACCATATAATCAGAGATCTTAAACTTGCTCAACTAATTAATTTATTCAAAGCATGTGGCACCAGAGGCTATGTCTTCACTAGTAAATTCAGCAGTACCAGGATGTATTCCTGGGCTTTAAAACTGGATTGCCTACACCAGTAAACTGTTAAAACTATTCCTGGCATTATTTCCACTGGGCCAGCTAACACTCCCCCAAAATGATTCTCAGTGCAGCTCTGGAGTTCAGGCAGCCCAGGGACCATTATCATGAGCCAAAGCTGCAGAGACACCTGCTAACTGCAGTATCCTGGATGGAGTGACACTGGCTGGCCACAGCACTGGAGAACATCTCAGGCACATTTCATCTTTTAGCATAGGTGTAGCTGCAAGGCCAAGTGATCCTGAAGCTGCTTTGCTCTGAAAGTTATCCTTCAATTTCCATTGACAGTAGGCTCAGCTACCAGACTTTAGGTTATTTTCTATGAAGTAACAACAGGTCCTTTCTGATCCTAGCCTGTGATGGTTTTCAGGAATGGTACATGTATGCTTCTTGGGAGAAAGGCTGAACCACAATAATAGAAAACTTTTAGTAGAAAACAACAGTTTAGGGAAAACAGCTTTCAAATACTGAAATGTGTTGGAGACAAAGGAATTTATAACAATATGGATAAGCATATACATCTTATAATAAAACATCATTATAATAAAACACTTGTCATAAAAAGGAGACAAGATTTTATTGTGAAGATTGCATTTCTTTTTATTAACTAGTGTTTCACTGTAACCACTGTGTATTACAGGAAAAATATAACAGTATTCAAAAATCTAACTTAATCTAGCCTGTCTTTACTACAGAAGAATCCTGCAGCAAAAGGAAAAAAGAAAAATGAAGTGATGCTCCAAATCACCTCTGCAATGGGCTTTACTCAAATACTGCTTCAGCAACTAAACCAGATGAAGATCTAAAGCTTCACCCCAGCAGCTGCCCTCCTGCTGTATACTACCCTTTCAGCTACACAGATCTAACAGCTTGGAGGGCCTTCACCTCAGTGATTTTCTTAAGTTACACATTTCCAAAACCTGGCATTTAGTCACAATAATTTCAGTGAACTGGTTAACAAGAGCCCCAGAACAGAGGCTGAGTTTTCAGCTCTGTTGAAGCAAACTGCAGGGCAGATTTCAAGTTTTGTAAACCAACTTCCCATTAAAGTGTTCAGCACCTCTGTGAATGCCACTCTGGAACAGCCTGCATGAGATGCTAAGAAGCACATTGTTTAATCCTCCCACCTTCCTCCCAAGTGGAATTAAGAATCTGCACATACAGTGAAGCTAAGGAGACTCACGAGGTCTCTTTCATAGATCTGTTTAAAGGATATCACAAATTATCATTCCCCACCCTTTCTCCACAGTGACAGCCCCAGGTAAACTTTGAACCTGTCAAGCTTGGAGAAGAGATGAAACCAATCTAGTAATCTAGAAAGGGAGAGGTTCTGTCCCTCTCAGCAATTTTCTAGAAATTATTTAAGGAGGGGGCTGAGATTATAAATGGGATTTGGAGCCTTCCATCATGTTTCTTATTCCCCTAAGCATGGATGACTGAGCTCTGCTTAGGAGCAGGAGTCAGTGTAAGGTTGTATTTTTACTTCATTTGTTTCAAATGCAATTGTGTAACTGACCTGCAGACCAGCCAGAGACCAGCTGTGATTATGAAAGCTGGATGCACTGTCTTCCACCTCCTGCCTATACAGCAGTATTTTCAATTACAAAAGGAAGAATGGTAGTTTACTGAATATAGGACAAAATGTTCCAAAATAATTTTCTCACCATACTAGTGGTCTCCTGCAGACATTTCATTTAAAAATTGTGCTTTTCTTTGCAGAATGGAGTCCCTATTTCAACTACCTGCCTTAACAAGTTAGAAGTCGAAATTGTTTTGGATGAGGTGTAAAGTTTCTCAAAAATTGAAAATGTAAAGTACCATTTATTTGAACTTCAGAACCCAAACCTAACAAATTCACACCTAAATTTAATCATAAAAAGAAAATCCCACTCAACTTTTACAATCAAAAAGTTTCCCTTAACCATAAAAAAGAAATTTAACACAACACACAAAAAAATCTCCCACCAAAATATCATTCATCTTTTGGAAATAAAGATTTTTGAGGAAAACACTTACACAGAAGTAACAAGCATCCCATCAGTGATATACAGGAATATAAATACGGGAGGTAGAATTCCCAGAGGTCTGTAAAGAAAACATTGAGCACAGCTTTAGCTTATTACCAAGAGGCTACTTATGTCACAGAAATTAACATCAAAATGGCACTGACTGAGCTAAGACACCTTCTTCACAACCTGTGTAATACTCACATAGCACGAAATAGAAATACATTTAACTGGAAACCTGCAGTTCTGTATTTACAATGAAACTGGGTGAAGGTTCTTTTGCATTCCATACCATATAAAGACTCCATACTGGCAGCATCGTTGTCTATGAGTGCTGAAGCCACCCATACGATTCCAAGGATAAGCAGTGCAAGAAGAATGAGCATTACAAGGGTTTCCAAAATCCGTGCTCTGATGCCCTATGAGCAGAAGAGGGGAGAGAGAGTAAAAAAACACAGCCAAGAAGTTTGAATCGGGTACTTTCAAACGTTTTTAAAACTATGAATAAATAGCAGATCCTTCTTCCTAAATACATACTCACATCTTATCATGTAGACAAAAGCACAACATGTAATGCACATTTAAAAGGTAGTGCATAAAAAAAGGAAGTACTTATGGCTTTATAGTGGCCCGATTGCATTTTTCCCCTTAAACCCATAGAAAAACGTTTTAAATTGCATATGCCTACAGTTCTCATTAATCTCATTATTCCATAAAGTACTCTTTATACCACACGATTTTGTTCGAGCATTTTTAAAAGATGGATTACTTTTCTAGTACTTTCAGCAAAGAAAGTGGATTAGCAAATTTTTATCTATGATTCCAATCAAGGGAATGGAAAGCCAATTATGGCAAATAGCCAAATGGCCCGGCAAGCATTAAACCCCGCGCAGGTAGAATGCAGCAATTCCCTTAAAATCCCTCCGCAGCCGTCAGTCTGCGGAGCCCTCCAGCGCTCGGCTGCGGAACTGCCGCTCCCGGCTCCCGCGCGGGCACCGCTCCCACCGTGCCCCGGCCGCCTTCCCGGCCCCCTCCCCGCCGAAGTGCCCCTGGGGGGGCTGCCGGGCGCAGGGAGTGCCGCGTCCCTCACCTGTGGTGAGCCGGGACGACACCTCTCCGAAGGGCGAGGGCTCCATGC